AGACTGTTGCCACTAAAGCACAGCTTCAATGCATTATAATCCTAAAATTATCTTCCCCATCAAGGTTGAGGATTGATTGGAGTGGATCCACCCTTTTGGACCTATAGGACAATGAGTTATAATGAATGTATAGTTGTGTAACCACCTCCATAAGTGAGATACAGAACATTTCCATCTCTCTAAAAAGAGCCCTCTGGCCTGAGCAGTCAGTGCCTTGCCCAGCCCCCAGAGGGGTCTGTCTTTTACAACAGAAATTCTCCCTAAGACAGTCACACTTGTCCATGCAAAAGGTATGGGGATAGTGCTCTGTTTCTTTAAGATGGAAGGCAATGGGGACTGCAAGTTGAAGACAGAGTAGCTAGTGCTGAATATAACTTAGTCCCAGAGACAAGGTTCTGGGTGAAGGGCTAGGGGACTGAGACTTGGGAGGGTCAGGAGGGAAAACTGGGAGAAGCAATACCCAGGACATGAACCAGAGCCTGGTGTGAATTAGGGATTGGAAAGAGGAGCAAAACCAGAAATCGAGATGCCAGAACTGAGCATTTAGCATGGAGTCCAGTGGGTTTTTCAGGCTGGGTCTCCACCAGGCTTAAAGTGTCATCAAGTATCACCTGACTGAAGGATTATAGACTGAGATCAAGAAAGAGAGCATAGAGGACAGAGACTTGCTGGTTTCAGTGTGCGTGTGTGTGTGTGCGTGTGTGCGTGTGTGTGTGTGCGTGCGTGTGTGTGTGTATTTGGAGTCTGCCAACACATTGGGCCATCTCAAACATTATTGCTAACCCATATTCTCAGCCAGGTGGGGAAGCTTGGAGCTGGGCCAGTCAGAAGCCTAATCTCGTCCTGCACTGGAGCCTGGCTGGGCTGCCTTGCAAACAACCTGTGCTGGCTCTGAGCAGAGCAGCACGTGCTCAGAGCTGACAGGCCAGCCGCAGGCTCACGGGCCGTCACCCTGGCTGGAGCAGCCGCACATTCTTAGACGCTCTATGTCATGGAAAGAAAGTTGAAGCACTCCATCTGCTGTGCCCCCCCCAAATATTACCCTTCCACAACAAAAGAGGGGTTCACAGAGGTGATGTACTCCTTTTCTTCTCTCAGAGGGTGGGGAGATTCAGATCCTGGAGTCTGTGGTGATATTAAGTTTGAGGAATTTAAAAAATCATCACACGGAAGCATCTGCTAAATACCCTTCTGCATACGGTGCTCACGGAATCTTGGTCTGAGGAGGGGGACTCGGCAGGTTGTGTTTTTATGGGATTATACACTGGAGGGGATGAGAGCATGCTTTTATTCCTGTACTTGTTCGCTTTAACTGATGACCACATTAAATTACATGCTACATGCTAAGTGTTATAAAGCATAGTGAACAAGCCAGGCAAGGTCTCTGGCCTCATGAGCTGATGGGCCAGCAGGGGTGGGCATCTGTCAAAGGACCCAGTGGAGCTCTGACTCACTTCCATGGCCCTAATTTATGACTCCTCTGCGTCTGTGCCCTTTACACGGGCATCAAGGGATGGAGCCTAAATGCTTATCTTCGAATCTGGCTCTTTTTGTGACTTACCCTGCTTAATGGAAGGTGAGCTGAGTACCAACTGTGAGCCGAGGCTTCAGGATACTTGTTGCATGTCTTCTCTGTTTGAGAACCATGCCTGTGCTTGCTTAATGAATAAACTTGGCCCAGTTTGGTACAGGCTGCAAGTCCACCAGAGAATTGCTCATTTGTCTGAGTGGAAGCCATTCTGGATCAGTCACCAGCCAGCCTGTTCCCAGACACATGAGCGAGGGCAGTTCAGAGCAGCAGAGCTTCCTCCTCTACCCAGGGCTGACCGAGACACATGGCTGTGCCCAGCCAAGAGCGGCAGGGCTGCCCAGTCCACCTGCAGAAACATGAACAGTAAGAAATCTTGATTTCTCACTATGCAAGGTGTTCTGTGCTCACTGATGGTTGGTGCCAGGCTTTGACTTTCTGGAGGCTCAGGAAGTATTCCTCCCAACCCCCCCCAAAAAACTCCGGCCCCCCTGCCTTAGCCCTTTCCCTCTTTCTCTATACTTTCTCCCCCTACCTTTAAACCATCATCTATTTGAAGCAATCAGAACTGTCATAATGATGTTTATTGCATTTCATAAACCTTTCTAAAGGGAGGAGGATGACACTGCAAAATCTGTACCATGAATATTTATTTCCCTAACATTACTTGCCAAGAGTTGGTTGTGGAAAAGCTCATCTGCTGGATTCTTCTGCAGCTGGGGGATAGGGCAGGTGTGCCAAGAGGAACTCAAGAGTGAGAAGTAAGCACTTTTCTTTTTTTTTTTTTTTTTTTTTTGCAGAAGAGAGAGAAGGGAGTAGGTTGAAAAATGATACAGGCCTGCCCAGATGGAGATTTGGTGGAGTAGTTCAGAAACGAGTTTGTGCATTCAGTCATTCATTCATTCCTCTGTTCATAAGCTCTCAACACAGCTTACTTTTTACAGATATTTTTTAAAATAAAAAGTAAATATTTAAGGTAAATAGCATGATGCTTTGACATATATAAGAAATATTTTAAAGAAGAATAAAGTATTATCTCTTAGTATGTGTGTGTGATGTATTTGAACAACCACTATGTTCAAATTAGAAAATATGGTAATTCAGTGGAAGGACCTTTGAGTTCTCCTTTTATGATTTAAACCTTTGGAGAGAGTTGAAAATTTGTCTTCAGAAAACACTTATTGTTGGTTCCAAGGCTTGGTTTGTATGAGAGGATTCATACCAGTTCATGGACATCGCAGAGCACCAGGCTGGGCTGCACCTGGGTTGGGCGGGGCTGGGGCAGGAATCATGGCTCAGTGTTTTTGAACCTTTGAGATCATGAACTGCATCACACAAAGGTGCCATTGTGCCTGGTGCCTCCGTGGTGGTGATTTCACTGCTGGGCCATGTCCCTCAAAGGTTTCTTGCAGCCTGGGGAAGGCAGCTGTAGCATGATTCTCCAATGAAATCATCAGGCCCAGACCACAGCAGTCAGCCTCACCCTGCACTCCCAGGTCCCATTTTAATCCCCCTGGGTGGAGACGCTGAAGGGCAAGCAGGCTGCGTTAGTTGGCAGTAGTGATGCTGAGTCTGCTGGCCCCCAAAGCTTGAGAGAACTTAGCTTAGGGGGTCTCCTCAAAGAAATCTGGCCATTCCATGGAACTGGGTCAAGAGGCCTCCTTTCCAAACTAAGGGACTTTGGCCATCCTCTTATAAACCATGAATGCCCTGGAATCTTGGGATTTTCCTTGGGGGTGATGTGGATTGTAGGCCTGTGCCTGACTGAAATGACTCCGGAATTGTCTAGCACAGTGTTTGGTGCATCACATGAATCAATCAAAAACGAACTACTTCAGGGAAGCGTATATGAACACGTGGCTCCTAGCAAATAATTTCTTTTACACAGTGAATATACTGATTTGCCTAGAGAAATAGTATAGGATGATGGATAAGAACAATAGCTCCCGAGCCAGGCTGCCTGGCTCAAATCTTGCCTCTTGTATTAACTAGCTGTGTGCCCTGGACAGATTACCTGACTTCTGTGTGTCTCTCTATATAATATGGAGATTAAAATGGATGTCCAGTCTCTTTTATGTTCTTGCTTTCTGTCTTTGTTTTCCCTTGAGAGAAGCTAGCCGTCATTTTATAAGCCATATGCATGGTAAAAAATTAAAGTCTCCTGCTAACATCCTCTTGAGTGAGCCACCTTGGAAGGGGATACTCCATTTCCAATCATGCCTTTAGATAACTGCAGCCAGAGGCCACATCTTGACTGCCACCTCACAAGAGACCCTGGGTTAGAATCACACACTCCTGGCTTCTGGATCCCCAGAAACTACTAGGGATAATAAAAGTCTTTTTTTTTTTCTTTTAGAGAGAGAGAGAGAGAGAGGAGAGAGAAAGACTTTTGCTATGGGGTGTGTGCACTCACTGGAAAGACAGAGAGACAGTGACAGAAAGCAAGTAATCAGTTCCCAAGGGGATTGCCACGCTGCAACCCTTCTCCATTCTCCTCTCGGGGTTTTGGACATGCACACACATGTGTCCAGCATGAGTTTCAAGCCACACGGTCCAGGACTGAAACCACATTCAGCCATGTGGGAATCCAGTGACGTAACCATTATGCCATCTGCTGGTCCCAATGTCTGTTGTTTTAAGCCACAAGAATTGAGGAAATTTGTTATGTGGCAATAGGTAACTAAGCACATTCTTTCTTTGGTGTACAAAGTTTGATGGAACAGAAATGAATCATCTGAGGACTCTGATACTTACGGAAAGAGCTAGGGAGAAAGCCTAAGGCACTATAAAAGAGGAATAGCAGGGATGGCTTGAAAGTGGTGGTACTTGGCAGAGGCTCCCTACAATCAGTAAATCTAAGTTGCATCTTGAAGGATGAACTGAACTAGTAAAGCAGTGTGGAGAACAGGGGCAGGAGAAGGAACAGCACATGCAAAGGCCTGGAGGTAAGGGATGGCAAGTAGAGGTGTGGGTGAGAAATGGGTCAGATGATGTTGGACTTTGGTTCCATGACAAAGGAGTTTGAACTTTGAAGGGTTTTATAGAGGATGGGATTACATTTTAGAAATATCGGAGTATGACGTGGAGAATAGATTAGAGTAGGACTAGAAAAAATAGGAGCCTGATCATTTACTTCCATTTACCTGTTCTATGATGATATATTACATTATCAGATATATGTACTTATTTTTTTAAATAAGTGTTATTCTTTTTAAAACATTTATTATTATCATAATCTTGTTTAAATGACATTGAATCACATATATCTTTATAATATATTTCTTTTTCCAGAAGGAATGCCATGCATTTCAGTCAAGACAAAGACATTACTAACCACATCATCATGACTTCAGGTTGGTTTCTTGGGACTTTAAGACGAACTTTCACCTCTCCCCACCCCATCTGGAGACTGGTTCAAGCCAGTGGCACTGCCGGACACCAGGCTGAATGCCCGGGACCCATCCCTCATCCCCGCCCCTACTCATCTCTGGACTTCAGGTTGGTTTCTCAGGACTTTAAGATGATCACTAACTACATCGTCATCAAATAGCTTTTCAATTTTTTTCAGATTATTTTTATTATTGTTCTCATTATTTTTTAAACATTTAATCACTATATATAATTTTGCTTATAAAAGGAATTTACCCAACATGAAATACTTCTCAGACCAGTCCAATTGAGAATACTATACATGTTATCATCAACAGGTAATACACCATTTCTGTGTTCCACTAATGTCATGTCTCTCTATTTCTTTTTTTGTTTGTTTGTTTTGTTTTGGAGAGGTTTTTGCTATAGGGTGAATGTGCTCACCAGACAGACAGAGAGAGACAGAGAGACAGAAAGCGAGAAATCACCCCCCAGGGGGGATGGCCACACCCCAATCCCTTCGCCTCTATTCTCTTGGGATCTTGGGCACACATGCACAAGCGCCCAGTGTGAGTTTTAAGTCACCGGGTCTGGGTCACGAACCGCGGTCGACTACATGGGAATCCAGCGATATAGCCATTACGCTAACTGCTGGTCCCATGTCTCTCTATTTCTGAACATATGGATATACTTTCTTTATTTGAAATAAGTTTATGTTGGGATAATTTTCTCATGTTATTTTTATTAAATGAAGTGTAGTGTGATGGCATAGTATAATCGAATGTACCCTAATTAAATTAACTAATCTCCTATTGATGGATATTTAGATTATTATTTATTTTTCACAGTTTATAAATAATACTAGGGTCTTCATGACAACAGTCTCCCACAATCTTGTACGGTGAGTTTATTTTAAGAGGGAGCTGAGGTGCACATGTGGGCAAGCGTATGTAGACAAGGCAGCAGACTGAGGTTCAGCTATCCAGTATATTAGTGACTTCATCTCTGGTATGTTCTGAGACATTCTTGATTTGGAACATTCCACTTCATGAAGGCCATGTATTCTGTGTTTTTTCTTGGAAAATATTCTCACCACTCCATTCCATGAACTTCATGCTTCAGATCAAGCCAGCGACATTGACTTGCTTTCCACATCCCACACCTGCATTGCTGCTCTCACTTCCTCATCTGCATGTGCCAACGCCTCTGCCTGAAATGCACCTCCTTTATCTGTCTACCTATTTTCACCATTTCTTAAGACTCATGTGATACACCTCTGAGCAAGTTTTCCTAATATTGTTCCACCCAGGATGGATTAGGGTCTTCTCCTAGGGCACCCCTGGTTCCCTGTGCTTTTATCAAATTTAGAACAATATGTCAAAATGATCACTTTATGAATCTCCCCTACTCAGCCATGAGATCCTCTGGAGTAAGCAATCATGAATTAAATGAAACAAAACAAAAGAAAAAACAACTCTATGACTTTATATAATGACTGAAATATTTTGGGCATTGATGAAATTATACTTAAAGAATGAATGAATCAAAAACCCTGGTAGAAAAGGTGAGTAGCTGGATTGTGCAAGGGCTGGGTTTTTGTTGAACAAAGTTAACCCAATTGGGGAATGAAATTGAAATTGCCAAGTGGGTCGAAGTGGTAGACCCTGGGGCTTATGAGGGACAGGAAGAAAGTGAAGGCAGGAGGTGCTGATCGAGAGGAAGCCGAAGAATCAAGGATCTGAGGGCCGTGGATTGGAAGACAGGTGTGGTGAGAGTAATGCTGAGGCTGGAATAATAGGCAGTAGTTCTCAAACTCAACTATGTACATGTATAATCCAAGAAGCTCATTACAATTGCAGATTTCTTTTTAATTACCAGAGGGTGTGCATACTTGCCAGAGACAATCAGATGGGCAGAGAGAGAGGGAGAAGAAGGCATCTCTCAGTGGTGTGTGGTATACAACAATACCTTCTCCTTTGCCCATCCTGTTGGGATTTTGGCCATGCTTACACATACGCTTGATGTGTTTTCCAAACTGCCAGGGCCTGGATTTTTTTTTTCAACAAAAGCTTTATTTAGTTAATTCAGAAAACATTTGCAAAATAAATTTTAGTTGCAATTTCACATGTACTAAAAATACAGGTGATGTTTATAACAATAACTTACAGATACAAATTAATGATAAACTACAATTTCACAAAATATTATAAACATTTTGCACATTAGTCAGTCCTAAAATAGATAAGTGGGATTATATCAAACTAAAAAGCACCTCACATAGAAAGAAACTATAACTAAGGTAAAAAGACAACCCTTGAATGAGAGAAAATACTTGCATATTATTCCTCCAATAAGGTATTGCTACCTAGAATATATAAAGAACTCTAGTTGCTTACCCATAAAGAAAGAAACAATCCAATTAAAAAAAAGGAAAATGAATTGAATAGACAACTCTCCAAGGAAGACTTAATGAATGGCCAAGGGCCATATTAATAATGTTCAGAGTCCCTGGGCATAAGGGAAATGCAAATTAAAACTAAAGTGAGATATCATTTAACCCTAGACAGAGTGGCTAGGATAAAAAAAAAAAAAAAAGAATGATAAGTGTTGGTGAGGCTGTGGTGAAAAGGGGACTCTTTTACACTGTTGGTGGGAATGTCTGTGGAAAACAATATGCAGATTTCTCAAAAACATACAAATAGAACTGTCATATGACCCAGCAATCCCACTTCTTGATATTTACCCAAAGTAGATCTATACTTTGGTTAGTTGGAAAGACCTCTTCCCATCATTTTTTATTGCAGGATTATTTATAATTGTTAAAACATGGCACTAACCTAAGTGTCTATAAAACTGATGACTGGGTTAAAAAAAAACTTTGGGCATATTACATAGCTATAAGAAATGATTAGCTCTGGGGCCAGCAGGTGGTTAAGGGCGCTGAACTGCCATATGGTCAACTGCAGTTTGAGTCCCAGACTTGATGGCTTGCTTTCTCATTTTCTCTCTTTCTCTCTCCCTCTCCGGTCAAATTAAAAATAAATAAAGTTAAATAAAATAATACTTAAAAAAAAAAGAAACAATGAGATCCTATTGTTCAACTCAAAATGGATGAGTATAGATTTAATGTTGAGCAAAGTGAGCCAGACTTTAAAAGATACACATTGTATGGGACTAGCAGATAGCATAATGGTTACATTGCTGTACCCCCACATGGCCAACCGCAGTTTGAGTCCCGGACCTGGTGGCTTGAAACTCACACAGGGTGCATGCCCAAAATCCTGAGAGGAGACTGGAAGAGGGATTGCAACATGGCTATCCCCTCCGGGAGGTGATTTCTCACTTTCTGTCTCCCTGTCTCTGTGGCAAGTACACAAGGCCTAAAACAAAAATCTCTCTCTCTCTCTCAAAAACAAACAAACAAACAAAAAGATACACATTGTATATACTCTCTCGATTCCTACTGAGTATCTGTACTTACTTTATGGCAGAGGTTGAGAGATCTGAACATGTGATGGTGGGGAGGATTGTTGTGGATGGTAGCTACAATAAGGGGAAAAGTAGTTGGCATAGAGTGGGTGGTAGATGGTGGGTGTGACAAAAAAAAGATTTTAAATTATAAACTGTTTTTTAATAAGAGAAAAACAAATCCACCTCCTCCCAGCTTTTTTGTATTGTCTGAAATAGTTCACAATAGTGTATACCTGTTAATTTATCTGTCAGCAAAAGAGCACTTTGCTTAACAGGGCCATAATTGCCACAGGCATCTGACTCCTTTAATCAGTTGGCTGTAGGCCTGGTCCACAAATGCAGATTCCTGAATATCTCTCTTAGTGACTCTAAATCAGTAGGTCTAAGGTAGAGTGTAGGATCTGTATATTTAATTAATATCCCAGAAATATCTCACTCAAGAATTCCTTTTCTGTTTTCAATAGAATACTGCAGAGTGGATAATTTATAAAGAAAAAAAATATTTAGCTCGTGGTTCTATAGGCTGAGAAGTTCAAGGGCATAGCAATAGCTTCTGGCAAGGGCTTTTGTTGGGCATCATAACATGATAGAAAAGTAGAAGGGCATGGACGTGCCTGTGAAGAAACTGCAGGAGTGAGACAAGCTTGCTTTTGTACCAACTCATTCTTACAAAAAAATAACTCTCATGATAATGGAATTTTAGTTCATTAATAATGGCAGAACATTCATAACCTGATCATCTCTTAAAGGTCCCACCTCTTAATGCTATCACATCAACAATAACATTTCCAATAAATGAACTTTTGGGAACACATTTAAGTCATAGCAGATCTTGCAGCACCGTGGGCACTTTCTGAAAAGTAAGACTACTGAGGAAAAGAGAGTTGTCTGATTTTAATATTACAGAGGTGGAGATGACTTTCCTGAAGTCAAGGTTTGGGTATGGCCACAGAAATACATGAGTGGAGCCAGAGTGGCATGGAGATAGGTGGAAGTGAAGATGAAGGGATCCTCCATGTGCTTGTGATCATTCCCAGGATGGTGGCAGTGCTTAGTGGGAGGAAGGATTAAGCAGCATGTGCCAAAGTCTCCCATGAGTAAAGGGAGGGCCCAGAGGGATGTTGGTTGATCTCCATGCTGGAGTGGACACTTTACAAACCAATGACTACAGTTCTTGTACGTCAATGTGCAATGGTAATACAGGGTAGAATCTGTAGCTGAGGAGAAGAGAGGGATATATGTTGGAGCCTTTCTATTACCAGTATTCCTAGGGCTTCAGGCACCATAAGAGGGTTGGGCAGGTGTCTGCAAAGTGGTACAGAAGACCGACAGAGGATAATCATGGGCACAGATAATGAAGACATTTTTTGGAAGGCTGTTCTCAAACCATCTATGGACCCCACCACCCACCATACAAATAGTGGCATCAACAGAAGTCATCTTTGGCCAATAATCCAAGGTTTTCAGATCTGGCATTATTGAAGATCTAAAGTGCTAATTAACCATCTCTTCATTCCAGTGGATTCTAACCAATCTGTGAAACAGACATGAGAGCTGAAGATTCAGATATCACCTTTGCTTTATTATCCAAAGCGAGATCAGAGAATGTAGCTTAGAACTGAGGCTGAAATCAGATTTTCTACCTCTGCTCTCCCAAACTTAGTGCCTACTTATGGGGTGAATTAGGTCTGCCTCGCCAATCTTGCCCTATCAGCTGCATTCCAGAGAAAACTGCCTTGCCCTACATTACCCATCACAGGGGAGTGCAGGTTTTCCAATGTGCCTTTTCATACAAAAAAAAAAAAAAATCCACCCCTGGCTAATGTAGTTCAATGGATAGATGGCTCTGCCCAGGTAACCAAAGAGATAAGCTCCCTTTTCTGCCCTGAAGAATCACAAGAGAGGGAATGAAGAGGATGGCTCTCTGAGTGATTGAGAGAGTCTGAAAAAATTCTCATTTTATGGACCAAGTTTGTTTAGGCAGAGAATATGTTTCTCCTGTCTTAGGAGAAACTTTGAAAATATGGGAGAGATGCCACAGGTTGCTGCAGAGAGGAAGTCAGTCCTTAAGAGCAGTCCTGGGAATGGAAACTTGGTAAGATGTCTGGGATGTTGTAACTCCCTAACATTGTCATCTACTGCTTGATTTCTTAGACTTTTTTTTAGTATAGCCTTTAAAAATAAAAGGATTCAAGTCCATGGTCTTAGATCCTGCAAGCATGCATTCATGAGAACGCTGTTCGCCAATTCTTGACTATTTGGAGTGTTTGATGTTGGACTCTAAAATCCAAGCTAGTGTTTGTGCTTCAGTTAAGCCTCCCAGGGACAGCTCCCAGTCAGTGATTGATGCAGTGGCAAGGATAAGACATGGGGCTCCTCTGATAGCTGACATCAGCTTGAAGACTGATAGTCTTTCCGAACTCTTCTTAGATACCTCAACACTTTAAGGCCCTTCCTTCCCTGTTTTCTTCACTTGGCCAGACATGCATTGTGGTCAGAAGGCTCTCCCACCACTCTGAGTTTTCTTTCAATTTTCTCTCATAGATATTTCCTCTAATAAAATCCTTGCATGTTTATTACTATCTTGACGACTGCTTCTTGGAGGATCCAGACTAACACAGCAAGTAAAACAGGAAGGGTGCCATGACCTAGGACAATCATCTTACTCTGAAATCTACCTCCGAGAGTGGAAAAAAATTTAGGAAAGCTAACCAAATCACTGGTTATTAAGTGCAAAGAGGTTAGGCCATGGGGGTTTACTCCAATGACTCTGTGCTAGACAGGACACAATCATTATCCCTGGAATCCCCAGCTCTACAGATCAGGACCAAACAGTCAGTGAGATTAAGATCCTGCAGCTGCCAAGACACACTTTCAGGTGAAAAAACAGACCCTTCTGTGCCTCACACTCTCTGTTGTTACTCCTGAGTCTAACTGTCTATAGGGAGGATGGGTTTCTGAAATGGTGGCACACCCAGGAGACTTGGCCAGCACTTTTTTTTTTTTTTTTTTTTTTTTTAGTAATGCCCAGACATCTTGGGTGTACTGCTATCCTGGTATCTACAAACCTCCCCAGAAATATTTCTCATTTTATGGCCTGCCTGCTTGAAGTGACTACTGAGAATTTAAAACTGTTTTTCCTAAGGCTCCTGACTCAGATGAGAACCAACAGACCCTATAATGGACCAACTCAAAGTCTTGATCAAATGGCAGACTGATGCAAACCTGGAACCTCCTGCATGTGAAAAATTCTTTCTTACTTTAATCTCATCTAACAAGGTAGGTCAGCTCGATTTGTGACATGTATCCCAAATATCTCTGCTTTTCTCCATTACCACTGCTTCCACCTCATCCATGCCACCATCTCTTCTCAACCACAGTAGCCTCCTAACTGGTCTTTCTGACTCTCTGTCCTTCCCCATATAGCTCATTCTTTATATAAAGCCAAAATGATTGCTCTAAAAAATCAGATCATGTTTCTCCTCTACTTTAAGCCTTCAGATGTCTTCTAAGTATACTTGGTAAATGAGCCATGCTCCTTCCCATAGCTCCTGTGTTCTTCTGTGACCAGACTGCTGCCTCTTACTCCTTAAACCTCTCCAGTCAAATTGCTTTCTGCTCTCTCCTCTATTCCCTACTCTTCCTTGAGTCCTTACCACTCTGAACATCTGTGTGTTTCTGGAACAGATCAAGTTCTTCACCCCTCAGTCTTTGCACAGGCTGTTTCACTTGCCTGAGAAGGTGCTTTCCCACCTTTGCTTGTTTTGCTTCTCACCATCATTTAGGGCCTCAATGGCAAAATACTCTAAAGGTGACTCCCATCCTCCTCCCGGTTACATTCACACAATCCTGCTGTATTTTCTTCAGAGCACCGAGCACAATGAGAAGGTGCATGATTCCTTGTTCATGTGCTTCTTGTCTGTCTCTCTCTCTGAGTACAACTCCATGTTCATGTAGCATGCATTCATGTTGTCTGCTGTGTTTGATTCTGCATCCTCAGCACTGAGAATAGTTTAGGCACACAGTAGGTACTCAATAAATATGTGCTGACTGAGGCTGGCTCTATGGTACAAGAGAAGTCAGATCCCATGTGATGAGCACAGTTTGAATCCCTGGCCAGGTCAGCCTAAAACCCACTGGGCATGCATGCAAGTATCTAGGATCTAATGGGCTAGAGAACTGGAGAAAGGGGATTGTGGCATGACCAGACCCTGTGGAGGATGCTTCTCTCTCTCTCTTTCTGTCTCACTTTCACATGCACATGCTCTCTTATGAATAAAGGAAAAAATAAAAAAGATTTGTTGACTGGATCTAGATCAACTGACAATGAAAGTAGAAATGTCTAGATGAAAATGTAAGTGAATGGAGAAAAAGTGAATAAAGAATTTATGTTTTAAGCAGCAACATATTTTAAATCCATTTACTCTTAGAAGAAACATACTTTCTCTGGCTATAAAATTGAGCTTAAAGAAAGAATTCTTTAAAAAGTTTTAAAGACTAGATTTAAGACGGGAGGATTTGCTGCATATGTGTCTGATCAGGTCTATATCAGAGAAATTAGAACAGAAGGGATGTACCACTAAATGGAGACCTACCAGTGTCAGAGCTGGACTAGAGTTGTAAAAATAATAACAAGCAGTACTTATCTTGTGTTTACTTCATGGTATCATACTTTATACCCATGTGATATCCATTAAGTCCATTCACAATAACCCTATGAAGTTGACACTGTTATATACCCCTTTGTACAAAACAAAGAAGCTGGGACCCTAAGAAAAGAATATGGCGGAGGAACCACAGCTAGTAATGACTAGAGCTGGGATTTGATCCCTGGTGTCTGATTTCAAACCTCTTTGTTGTACAACCTTATATATAACCTGCATGGCTATTATTCCTTGTACATTTATGGCACTAAGTCCAGTATTAAACTGTACCTAGAGGTGTGCTCATCAGACAGGATCAGAACCCAAGACCTGTGCTTCTCATGTTGGGTCACTTCACCTGTTAACTAGCTTTGACCATCAAAGATGGCCTTTGGTTTCTGGTTATTTTGGCACCAGATGCCAGGGCAACCATGTGAGAGCCTCAAGTACTACAAATCAGATATCTATGAATATTTGTTGCCCAGTGTTGGAATAATACCTGCCATTTCCAAGGATATCACAAATGCACTAACTTTGTGATATTTGCAGTGGAGTGCAGGTTTGTTGTGGGTCCTGGAGTTGGAAAGACTAGGTTTGGATTCTGGCTCTACCATGTACAAGACAATGTGAAGCCTCCTTTTCCATATTTGTGTGCAAAGAAAACAGGAGTTGCCTACCTCACAGCTTATAATTTGTTACCATCCTGTACACAACATGGTGTGGATACCCAGCTCTTAGTAGCATTAGTTATTGGCAATATTTTATCATCATTACTATTGAACTTGGCTGTTTTGAGCCAGACTGTCAGGACTGGGAAGAGAATGATGGAGAGGTAATCTGTCTACCTGGGCAACTTTCAGTTGCTAAAAGCACAATCCTGACTGCTAACAGTTTCTACATCTATGAAATAGCAGTAATAATCCTTTCTTGCTAGTATGAAATTTAAATGAAAACACCTATAAGGATAATGATAACAATGGTTAATATTTATTGAATACTTCCTATGTATGTTCTGGGCATCATTCTAATAACTGAACATATATTACCCCAGGAAGTCTGCATAGCAAATCATTGAAGTAGGTGCTGTCATGATCCCCTAATTTAAGGATGAGGGAAGAGAGGCAAGTACGTGTTAGGGATGATACAGGGATTAATTAAATAATTATTAGATGCTGAGATCTTTCAGGGGAAGCAGCTTTTCATTATCTTCAGTATAGAATAGGAACTCAATACATTTTCATTATTGAGTAAACTATATAGATCAGAGATTGGCAAACTTTTCTGTGAGGGGCCATGTAGTAAATGTGTTAGACTTTGGGCTCCATGTGGTCTCTGTTGCAGTTTCTCAACTCTGCTGCTGCAGTGTAAAAGCAGCATAGATATTATGGAAATGAACAAGTGTGACTGCATTCTGATAAAACTTGTTAAAAACTGGTGGCAAGATGGATTTGGGGTGGGCCATAGCTTGCCCATCCCTGATGTAGATGATACTAATTAAACCATACCATTTATTAAATGCATACTCTGTGCTAGTACTGTCTTAAGTAGTTGCATGCATTATCTCATGAGATTCAGAAGAAGAAAGTAGGTTGGTTGGATTTAAATTGCTTGTCTGTGACTGTGAGACTACAGATCCTAGACTAGGGAGACAGTGTGAAGGACTTCAAATACTATCTGGTTGAAAGTATGAATTAATTCAAAATTGGCTTGATGGTCTGGTGGTTAAAGCAGGCAGACCTTACATGACTGACCCAGCAGCTTGAGAAACATGTGGGTATGTGTGAATGCCCAGAATCCGGAAAAGAGGAAAAGAGGAAGGAGAAAGGATTATGGCATGACCATTTGCCATGGGGAGTGCTTTCTTCTCTCTTTCTTTCTCTGTCTCTTTCTGGAGAGCATATGCAAATTCTGGAGAAAAACTAAGTGAATAATTTAATTCTAGACCCTTACTACTCTGGTCCATGGACTAGCAGTATGGATATCACCTGGATATTTGTAAGAAATGCAGATGACTGGGTCCCTCCTTAGAAATGTTGAATTAGAATATAAATTTTTATAGGATTCCAGTGATTTTCAAACATATTAAAATTCGAGAAGCAAGTCAGAGGCTCTAGATCAGGGGTCCTCAACCTCTGGGACACAGATGGGCACTGGTTAGGAGCCAGGCCACACAGCAGGAGGTGAGCGGCAGGCAAGCAAGTGAAGCCACTCCCCATCACTTGCATTACTGCCTGAGCTCCACCTCCTATCAAATTAGCAGCAGCATTAGATTTTCATAGGAGCCCACATTTTATTGTGAACTGCATATGTGAGGGATCTAGGTTGCATGCTTCTTATGGTGAGTCACATAATTATTTCATTCTCTATTACAAGGTAATAATAATAGAAAAAGTGCACAATTGATGTAGTGCACCTGGATCATCCCAAAACTACCACTCTCCTCTGCTTCAGTCTGTGAGAAAATTGTCTCCCATGAAACTGATCCCTGGTGCCAAAAAGGCTGGTGATTGCTGCCCTAGGTCATTCGAGTTAGAAAACTAACACTGCTCAATATCCAGAAATGTTTAGCTTTTACAAATAATATGGTTGAGCTTTTCATTCCTCTTGGGCATATAAGCCTACTATGGTCAGCATGTTGCCAGAAGTTCTAGAGGAAAGTTAAGTTTAGACACTCAACAGAAGCTTTATCATCTAACAACTTTTGGAAGTTACTTGGAAAATGCGGCAATGATTAAATGATCTTTAACTTAAAGACATTAGAAATATGCAAGGTGTGCTAATCAGTTTCAACACCTGAGAGTTAATACTTGGTTGTCTACAGAGATGAACACCTAGAAGAAAATTTTTCAGAAGCTCCTCATTGGAATCAAGTGTATTGATGATCCATTTAGCTTCTTTCTTGCCACTGAGACAGACCAGGAGCCCCTGAAACAGCTCTCCTTGCTGTGGCTTAATCTAATTGACAATCGGATCAGCACACAAAGAGGAGTGAGAAATCACTCCACTAACAAGCTCCCTGCCCTCCTGTCTCTAGAAGAATGTTGGCTGACAGGGACACAATTAAAAGGGGATTGATTTATTGAGCTGGAATGCTCTGGCCCCCCTAATCTCAGCATCTCTGGGCTTCATGCAATCACCATTTCCAAACAAGAGTCAGCCTACACAAATGAAACCATTCGTGATCACCAGGGAGCCAAAGACGCTCTTAATTTACCAAAGGTAGCTCAGCCCTAGAAACCCATAAAGAAAAACCACATAAAAGAAGTCCTTTGCTGCACAAGGGGCTGGATAAGGATCTGGAATTCAGCAGGGAAGGATGATCTAAACAAAATGTAAGCAGTGGTAATGAAAACTGCTAACCTTGGCTCCAGGGGGGAAGAGGGCTAAGAAGAGTAAATGGGCAAGAAGCCCTATTTTCATCCTGTGTATGATGAAACTGTAAATTTCTGTTCGAAATCACAGGCTCATCAAGTATCTGGAATGTTGATGGGAATGCCGGTGGGATTCAAGGGAAGAAAAACGTGTTTGGATTTGAATTCAATTCTCCCTTTGAACTGTTTCATTGAAACACATCTCAGCTATCGTATGCATATCATTATTTATAATTGTTGGGATTTGAGGGGCACCCAATAAATA